AGCCGCGCTCTGGGGTGCGGCAAGAGACCCTGTTGTGGGGCAGGGAGCCGCCGTGGGGCAGAGGCCCACGCTGTGGGGCTGAAGCCTTGTTATGGGAGCGGGGGACACTTGTTCTGGGCAGGTGTGGGAGGGGGAGCCTTGCTGCGGGGACAGCTCTGTTACCGAGGAGGTGGGGGGGACCCTGTTTTAGGGAGCAGATCGTGCTGCAGTGTCAGATCCTGTCCGAGATGTGGGGCCAGACGCTGTTATGGGCCGTGGAAAGCAGGCTGGGCCGTGGGGTAAGCCCCTGACTCGGGGTAGGGTCAGAGCTTGCTAGAGTTTTGACTCCCCTGTCCCTCGGGGGTGGGGGGGGGAGGTATCCCCTCTACCTGGCAGACCCTTGCTGGGCAGCTGGAGAGAGTTCAGGCCCCCTAAGTGCAGCATCAGTGCCCCTTGCCCAGCGCTGAGGGTGGGATGTTTAAAGAGCTTTGACTGGAGTGAGCAAGTGAAGTGCAACCTTCAGCTGTACAATAAGCCTCCTCCCTTTCACCTCCCTTTAGTTCACCATGAAACCAAATACCTTCCTAAAACAGCTGAGCAAAGGAGGGCTTTGGAGGTCATGTCCCAGCCTGAACCCTCTGGTTCAAGATGCACAAGCCACCACTTGTTGTGAGGTCCATGCAGCTGGCCTGACAGTGCTGACCTGAAGGTGCTGCTTCCTCCTCTGCTGCATGCTAGTTGCCAGCAGCAAAGAACATGCTATCAGGCTTGGCCTGTGGATGCGTTTCAGCTTGTTGAGGCAGTAAACCGTAAATAGTTGCAGTGCTCAGTGATTTCCAGCTGTCTAAAGAACAAGACAGTGTAAAACTTGAGGCTTGGTATCTGGACTGGAAGAAGCAGTAGATGCTCCAGTAGACCAGCTCCTGGCTGCTTCCTGTCTGCATTTTAGCATCCCCGTGCTGTGCAAAAAGGGAGGAGGTTCCTGCAGCCAGTCCCTCATAACAGGCTAAGCCGATAGCTCTGTATTCAGGATCAAATTGACTCTCCCCAGCTCTGAAAAATCTGCAGTAAGTGGTGAGGACTGAGCTTGTGACCTGTGCCCAGAAGGAGTCAGGCTTGTGGTCAGCATAGTCTGGGGGGACTGAATGCCAGGGGCAGCTGTGCTTTGCTGTTAACAGCTACGGCTACGGGGAGGCTTCTCCAGTTTGCAGGAGCAGCCACGGCACAGCCTGCCTCTCTTCCAGTTAGTGCCAGTGCAGCTGTTGGGGTGACTGTGCTGGGAGCCTGCTCAGACAGCTGAGCCTGTTGAAAAATACTCTCTCTTCCCACTTCTCTGGGAGAAATGTTACCTCTGTGGTTTTTTGCTGCCTTGAAGAGTCCAAAGCAGAGCTATTTTGAAATGCAGAAACCTCCTTGTCTGGGGCTGTCTGCAGTTTCTAGTGTTTTTTATTGTGCTGAATGTTACATGTTAAAGGTTTTCTCTGTATCGAAATGAGGTTTGTTTTCTCTAAGGGAAAGTGTAGATGTGGGTGAATTCAAGCGCACCAAGGCACATTTCCCTTTGAGAACATAGCCGTGATAAAGGCTGGGCAATTGTGGGCTGGCCAGTATGTCCCCCCCTGCAGTATTTCATTGCTCCTTCATTCAGTCCTTTCGCCTCTCTGTCTCTTTTCACACAGGTTTGTTTCCAGATCACAGAGACGATGCTGTTGAAAGGAACTGCTTAACCCCCCACAATGCCCTTTTCTGACTTTGTCTTAGCACTGAAAGACAACCCGTACTTTGGGGCTGGGTTTGGCCTCGTAGGGGTGGGCACAGCCCTGGCGTTAGCCCGGAAGGGGGCTCAGTTTGGACTGGTGGCTTTCAGACGCCATTACATGATCACCTTGGAGGTGCCCAGCAAGGATAAGAGCTACCACTGGCTGCTGAACTGGATCTCACACCATGCCAAGCACACGCAGCACCTGAGTGTTGAGACATCATACCTGCAGCATGAAAGCGGGCGCGTCAGTACCAAGTTCGACTTTGTCCCCAGCCCTGGGAACCATTTCATCTGGTAAGGGAGGGCAAGGGAAGAAGAAGAGCAGTCTGGGGACTGGCCAGTGTTTTAGCAAGAACACTCTAATCTGTGGGGCCCACGTGGGCAACGGAGAGAATCCTGCCACTTTCCTGTGTCCAGGTTAGGACAAGATGAGAAGCCCGCATTCGCCAGATGAACTGATTTCTTTACCTGAGATGAATGTGCCCCTTGACATATGATCTAAGCTATGCCCTCCAGCTGGGCTCAGCTGATCAGTAACAGATCCCTGGATGTAGCCAGTCCTGTTGTGCCAAGTCCACTTTGGACACGCTGGTTTTGAGATCCCCTGCTGAGCCTGACCCTGCTGTGCCTGCTTTGGGGACAGGGAGGACAGTACTGGCCTGTCTGTCTGGGAAATGAAAGGCAGAAGCTGAAACTTGCATTCAATTGAGCATGGAGGGTGAGCTGTGGCTTGCAGCTGGAGGCGAGTGCAGAGAGGTCTGCTCTGGCCTAGCTCCCCCCAACCTCATCTTCCTGCTCCAGGTATCGGAGGAAGTGGATTCGCATTGAGCGGAACCGGGAGAAGCAGATGATCGACCTGCACACTGGGACCCCTTGGGAGTCTGTCACCTTCACTGCTTTGGGCACCAACCGGGAGATCTTCTTCAACATCCTCCAGGAAGGTCTGTAGGGTAGCACTGTGGGGCCCTGCGAGGAGCAGTCTGCTCTCTGGAGACACCTGGTGCTTCAGAGATCCCTTTCCCTGCCAACCATCTCCTCTGCCTCTCTTTGCAGCCCGGGAGCTGGCTCTGCAGCAGCAGGAGGGAAGGACAATCATGTACACGGCCATGGGAGCAGAGTGGCGGGGGGGGGGGGTCCCCCGTCGCCGCCGCCCCCTCAGCTCCGTGGTGCTGGAGGAAGGTGTGTCGGAGAGGCTGGTCCAGGACGTGAAGGAGTTCATCGAGAACCCCAAGTGGTACAGCGAGAGAGGCAAGGCTCTGGCGCAGCATCCTCCCTGCTGTGCCCAGCAAGGCTCCTCACCCCTCTGCAGCCATGGCTGTGGGGAACTGTCCCACACACATCCTGCTAACTGAGCTGAGGTGCAGAGGTTAGGCCTGGATCTGCAAAGGGGCAAATCTCCCTCAGTTCAGTGGGAGTCAGGCCTCAGGGCTCAGACATACAGTTAAGATTCAGAGGTGCTGCTCATGCTCTGCATTCTCCCCGCCCTGCAAACCTGTCCTGGTGAAACTTGAGAGGATATGTTATCTTGTCTTTGCTGCAGCTGAGGGCTTCTTTACCACAGCCTTGCTGCTTTGCAAGAGTCCTTTGTATGTCTGACCCTGGGCACAAAGCTGTGCTCTCACCCCTGCTGTGCTCAGGCTTTACCAACTCTGCTGGTCTTTGCCCTGGTCCTGCCTTGGTGAAGAGCCCTTAATGTAGATAAGCACAGAGGAGAAAGGAAGGAGTGGGCGCTAACAAGGGCCAAATCTAGCGTGTGCTGAGGCTGTTGCTTACATGTATTTCTGCAGTTTCTCAGCCCTCGGCTGCTGTGCCTGCTACAGTCCCATCTCGTAGCACTTCCCACCCTCCTGCTTCTTGGCCCGTCTCTGAGGACAGAGAGGGCTCCATTAACCTTTCGTCCAGCTCTTTGGGCATCCTGCCGTGTATTGCAACTAAACAGACTCCTGGGAGGAGGCTTTTCCTGAGCAGATTCTCCAGCCTCCAATCTCAGGAGCCGCGATGAGCCATGGAGTTCATTGCTCCTGTGATGCGGCTGTGGGGAGGGGCAGGATGCCCGTGGTCCTTCCTGGCGGACAGCTGGAGAGAGATTTCTGTCTCTCTTGCCTTCCCCTGCTGGCATCCTCCATGCATGCTCAGCATAGCCCTCGTGGCGCTCTGCGGAAGAGAGCTCAGAGCATCCAGCTTGCCTTGTCTGTGCAGCCAGGGGAGGAAATTCCCCCTTTCCTTTGAGCGGTTCTCACCCATGGGCTGTTGGTGCCCCTAAAGGGAGGCTTTGAGCCTGGAGCAGCTGATCTGACTGTGAAGATGCCTTAGTTGATGTTGGTGCCTCAGGTCTGTGTGGGCAGGTAGTCAGCCCCAGTGATGAGGACTGGGTAATTAGTTGGGGCAGATCCTTTTGAAGCAGTATTCTCCAAAACATGGTTCATGGAAACCACATTACTGCTGGCCGCAGAACAGCCACAACCCAGGTTCCTTGCTCAGGGTTGTTACCTGTGGCTGGTGGGGGACAGTTGGATGGACTGTATTTGAGGCCTTGTGCTGGTTCCTAAAAGGACGCTGTCTCCCTAGGGATCCCATACCGAAGAGGCTACCTGTTGTACGGTCCACCCGGCTGTGGGAAGAGCAGCTTCATGTGAGTATTGCTGGCTGGGTAACAGTGGCTTTCCTGCCGGCTGCCTGCTCTGGGATGCAGCAGTTGATGAGGGTGTGTGGTTGGGTTTGGGTTTGAAATGCAGCAATGCACTGCCCAGGAATGTGCGTTAGAGGGCTGCGTCTCCCGCACTGTGCCCGGCATAAGTGTTTGCATTGCTGGCACTGTTACCAGCTCAGGGTGATGGCACTTCTCCGCACCCTTGCTTGGCGCAGCCCTGCATAACAACAGCGTGCCAAGCAGGCTGATCTGGCAGCGGGGCTTGCACCCACCACCCATATCTGATCCCCACCAGGGGGAGGAGGTCTGTGCCCTCCGCCCTGTGCTGCTGGGCGGGGAGACCTTGTTCTCCACCTTCCCTCTGCCTCTCTCTGCTCAGGGAGAATCTCTTGCCCTGATTCACCCCTGTGGTTTGTGTCTTTCCCAGCACAGCCCTGGCCGGGGAGCTGCAATACAGTATCTGCCTGCTGAGCCTCAGCGACCGCAGCCTCTCTGATGACCGGCTCAATCACCTCCTGAGCGTGGCACCACAGCAGAGCATCATCCTTCTGGAGGATGTGGACGCTGCCTTCGTCAGTCGGGACCTTGCTGCTGAGAGTGAGCCTGATCCTGGGCTGGGCAGCGGGAGGGAGATTGGCCAGCTGTGCTGGGAGATGGTTTGGGCTCTGGGCTCCTTGCAGCTGCACCAGTTCCTGGGGCCTAGTTCAGCAGAGATCAGGAGCGGGTAGCTGCCTTGATCCTCATGGCCCAAAATGGACCTCACCCAGTTTTGGCTGGGCTATATAATAGGAGCTTTTGGGTCCCTTGTCCTAGTAGTACCTCAGGCAAAGGCATTTGTCCTGCTGAGCTCTTCTCAGCGTGACAGAGGGGACAGCTTTCCCCCTCATTCTCCTTTTGGATTCCCTGGGGGGCCTGTGGACAGGGAAGGTGTATGGGCTCTCAGCCAGGGAGAGCACTTGGCTTAAGATGCCACATCTTGGCAAGCTGTGGTGAGCCTTAGGCCATGGGGAGGTGGCTCACAAGACCGTCCTGGGTGAGTGTCTGGCAGATGGGATCTGAGACATGTCTGTCCCCAGACCCTGCTGTGTACCAAGGCATGGGGCGTCTGACCTTCAGCGGCCTCCTCAACGCCCTGGATGGCGTGGCCTCCACAGAGGCCAGGATTGTCTTCATGACCACCAACTACGTGGACAGGTGAGAGCTGCATTATCAGGCAGAGTGGGAAAGGTGGCATGGGGGAAAACTTACTCCCTTGGAGCCCTTTTCATGGGCTTTGTGGAGCGTTATTTGCGCCCTCCAGTGTGAGGTTTGGTGGTTCGTTGGCCAAATAGCAGGTTTTCGCAATCCTCAGGATGCAGATCCCATGATCCCTAATTGCCCCCTTTGCTGGGCCCTCTGATGCTCACTTGCTGTTCAGACCATATTATAGTGGTTCCTCCCTTCAGGAGAGATGCCAGCTTACGCATGCAGGGGTCTGTGGGGTTTGGAGTTATATGCCATGGGCAAAAAGCTGGCACCATGCGCTGCCTGTTCAGTCAACAGCATGTAGCCTTGGCTCCTGGCACCCTTGCTGCGCTCAGCAACCTGGTTCGTGTGTTTGCCAGAGGCTGTGTTGCAGCGGACTTGGCTCAGTCCAAACCAAATTGGCCTAGGTTGTCTGGTATGTTCAGAGGGTGCCATGGGACACCGATGGGCAGAGCTGGCTCCCAGGACAAGCTTGTCCTCCCCAGCAGCCAGCCCTTCCCAGCTCTCTCCCCTCTTTTGGGTCCATCCTCCCCACCCCAACCGTCAGGGACAAACCTGTTCCCCACCTTTGCCATCCCAGAGCACACAGGACCTGGCAGATAGGATGCCATGATCCTATACTAGCATGTCCTAGCGTGGAGAGGGCTTTCTGCTGGACTTGTCCTGCAGAGTCAGTTTAATTAAGTTTTCAAGTTACCCTTTGGCTTTTGAGCAGTTCTCCAGGGTAAGAGGTTACCCTTCAGTGGGGCAAAACAAAGCCTGGCCAGAGAGGGCAGGCAGTGATGCTCCTCTGGACCGGCTGGTAGAGCAGGGCCAGGACATCGCTTACTTCTCTGTGCTTCTCGACAGGCTGGACCCAGCCCTGGTGCGGCCCGGGCGCGTGGATCTCAAGCAGTACGTGGGCCATTGTTCCCGCTGGCAGCTTGCCTGCATGTTCCAGCGCTTCTATCCTGAGCAGCCCCCGGCTGCAGCTGAGTGTTTTGCACAGGAGGCACTGGCAGTCTCCGATCAGATCAGCGCTGCCCAGGTGCAGGGCCACTTCATGCTCTACAAGACAGACCCCAGAGGAGCCATTGAAAATATACACTCCATCCTGCTGTGACCACGGATGTGCCCTGCTCTGCCACTCTGTGAGGCCTGAGAACTTCTGGGGCAAGGACTTGACCATCCTGGGGATACTGTGGAGCTGCCCAGGCACACAGGCCAGGTCTCTTGTTCATCTCTACCTCACCAAGGCCTTGGCTTTTTATTAAAACATACAGAGAGTCGGAGGTGCCAGTCCTGCAGCAGGGTAATGGGATCGGCTCTTGCTGCTCCCTGACTTTGGTGTTAATACGTTGGCCCCACTCACCAGAGAGCCTTGTGCTGGGATTGTTGTAATCTGCCAAGGCTTCTGGATGTGAAACCATGGCAAGTCAATCCCTTTGACTGGCGTTTTCCTGAGGCAAGACATTGTGATGCTACCGTGCTGAAGAGAGCTGCAGATAGGAGAGGTCTGTAAGGAGAGGTCTTCAGCAGAATAGTCTGCGCTGTCTTGTGAATGTCCTCTGTGAAACGTACAACGTGGCTCTTTGCTCTCGGGTCCTGTCTGCTTTTGTGCGCGTGCCACTAAGTGACAATGTTGTTCCCTTGCTTGTTAGTTGCCCCGTGGTCCAGATCCTGGCCCAAAGCCCTTCCAACCTCGACAGGTGGGAGCAGCACTGCTCCAGGCGCTTCTTGGGGCTGTCCAAGTCCTGAATCCCTGCTCCAGAGGGCGTTTGCCTTGTCCCCAGGGGCCGTGTTTCTAAGGGTGCAGTTCCTAGTGTAACAGTGGACTGGTGCTGGAAGGAAAGATCAAGCCAAAGGATCGATTGGGTCTCTGGGTCCTTGGGTCCTCCTGGGACCATCTTGTTCTCTGAGGGTTGACTGCCAGCAAGGCTGTTAGGATGGTGCTGCACCCAGTAACCTGTGCAGACCCTGTGCCCTTTCAGAGGGGATTTGGTTGACCTGTGCTGCTGATTTGAGTTTTGTCTCTTCCTCCAGCACAGGGCTGCTGCCAGCCTGGCCCTGGTGGTGTGCTTGAGTGTGCTTTGTGTTTAAAGCTGAGCAAAGTCTGTGAGCCTCAAAATCTGCTGTGCCAGAGGGCAAGGGAGGGTTTGGCACAGTCAGTACTGCAAATCCAGAGCTCTTTCAGGAAAAGAGAAACAACTCCCAAGAGACAGCTTGTTCTCCCTCAGGCTGCTGGCTGTGGTACCAACAGGGTACCAGTTGCATGGGCTTCCTTCCCTGGGTGGGCATGGTTTGCTAGCAACCCCCCCAGAGAAGGTGGTGGGGGAAGATACGGGGCCCTGAAACGCGATCTGGGAGGGGAGGCCTCATCCAGGCAGCCTGTGCGGCTCCTTCTCAATGCCACATTGCTGGGGGAGGTCAGTGCACACGCTCACATGGGAAGAGCCAGCCTGAGTGTCTTCTCTCCCCAGTTCCCATTTCAAAGTCCTTTTACCTCGCTTTCCATGGCCTGGTTTCGGCGCTCAGTGCTGTAGCGTTGCTGTCACATCCCAGCTGAGCTGGGAGCCAAATGAGGTTTGTAGGGCAGAGGCAGCACTTGCAGAGGAGCCACCAGGGTGGGAAGGGAGCATGGGCTGGGGAGCCACCGTCCACTGCCCGGGAGGCTGCGGCTCGTGGCCTTTTGCTCCCCTGCCACTCAGGGGACGCAGCCCCTGGAGCAAGGGGCCTGCCTGTTCCCAGGCCCAGGCCCCAGCCTGGCAGTGTGTAATGGATTCTGTGACAAAACAAATTTCAGTGGTGTAAAAGTGCCCAGTCTGCAGGCCCAAAATAGTCCATTTGTAACACTGGTGGGGGGGTCCTGGTGCTTCCATCTCTGCTAGTTCCCATGCTGGGGTCCTTTGATGGAGGCTCGCAGGGGGAGGCAGGCTCATGCCGTTACCACCAGGGCTAGCTGACACCGAACAAGAAAGGCTGTGGCACGCAGACACAGGTCAGACTCTAGGGAAGCTGGCTGCAGGCCAAACCTGATCCATTAGGTCTCTGCTCAGCCCTGCTGTTTCTCTGCGGGGCCAGGAGCAAAGTTAAGAACTTACAGGAGGTACAAAGCGGCCCAGCTGATCCCATCTGGCTGAATTTCAGTGCAAACAAGGCACCGCTTTGATGCAGTCTGAGACTAGCAGAGATGTTTCCACAAGCGATGGCACGCACGTGTGAGTTGTTTCACTGAGGACAATGTCCCACAGCTGCACTGGGAACAGCCTCGACCCCAGGAGCCTTGCATGCAGTGTCAGACAGGAAGGAGTTGTGCCAGTTGCGCCTGTCTCCTGCTGGGTGCCTGGGCCCAGCAGTGCTGGGGAGCCTCCAGCAACCAAGTCTGAGCAGGGCTGAAAGGGTTGATCCTGCCACAGGGGAGTTTCCAGTGACTTGGGCTGGCTCCCATGGGTGGTAAAAGGGACAGCGCGTGGAGAGGCAGACCTGGAGCAGTCAGTACCTTTGCCAGTCATAACACAAGCATGAGGATGAACGTGGAGGAGGAGCTCTCTTGGGGACGCACGGACAAGCGGAGACAGGATGGGTGAAGGGCTGGAGAGCACAGAGCCTGGATCTAACACCTCACCCACACTGTTCAGGCCCTACACCCACAGAGTGGAGTTGCACCCAGCCTGGCTGTGAGATGACAAGAGCAGGCTCAAATCAAGCACTGTAGTTTAGACTTGCTCCCCCGAGCATGATGCTGCTGTTGGCAGCTCAAACCCTGTGTTCATCCTTTCCCCAACCACCACCTGCGTTCGCTCAGCTCCTCGCGTGCTGGAGGACAAAACTGGCCATTTAACTCCTGGCAAACAGCAAACGTATGAGTCAACAGGTGTGTGGTGGCACATGGTAACGATGCGAAGGAGACATGGCCACATAGATCCCCCAGCCCAATGCCACCACATAAGAGCACAGGCAGCAACATCAGTCACTCTGCTTGCTTTTAATAGTGTTATTAATACTACAGACACCACCAGTGCCTTTCCCTCTGGCATCTCTGAGCACTTTTACCAGTTAAGCCTCACAACAGCCCCATTAGATAGGTCAATATTGGCACCCCACCCCAGCACACCAAGTGGTTGGACACCAAGTGAGGACCCTCAGGGGACCCTCTTCCCCGATCCCAAATCCCCACCCTGGACAAGCATAGGCAAAGGAGCCAGGCAAAGACTCCCTTCCAGAGATCTCTGCCACTCTAGGGTGCGGGAGAGGATGCGTCACGCCAGGATGAAGGCAGGGAGATGACAGCCTCAATGTCTCCCACAGTGCCCCAAAATCCTCTTCGAACCAGGGTCAAGTTCCTCTGCACCTACCAGTCAACTGACTACCAAGGCTTTTTTCTGGAGCTTGTTTTGTTTAACCCAAATTCCTTTCCACACGCAGTTGCAAGATTTTCTCTGCTCCAGGCTGACAGCAGTAAGCCAGAGAGGTGAGAGCCTTTCCCAGATCCCTACACAAATATCCCCTCCCCTCTAACAGGTTTGGCATGTTTGAAATTACCCAGGTCCCTACTCACTGGGATTTCCATGGATACCTTCCCATGCTCCCAGACACATGGCACAACAGCTTTCCAGCTGAGGAGAGACTGAATCTGACTCTGGAGGAAGCAAAGGAGCTTTAGCTACAGCTGCTGCAAGGAGCAGAGATATTTGTGTTTCTTTCAGGACATGATCAAATCTTTTTTGGAGCACAGGAACTTCACACGTAAAGACAGAAGGCAGCAAAACAGCACCAATGTCAGTTAAAGTTTACACCTTCCCTTTTCACCCAAATGGCTGTTCACCCACAAACAGGCTGGAACAAGAACAGAGCAAGCACTAAAGAAAAAAGTCAGGGCACGTTTCAGAGGGTCAGTGAGTAGGTGTCCAGGGCATACAGTTTGCCTCTCAGATCCACAAGCCCAAGATGTATAGGCTCAGACTGAGGAAAGCAAGAAAAGAAAGCTCACTGGAGCATTAAGGTGCTGGAGATCAGGCTGAAAATAGGCCTATGTTTGAAATTTAAGTAAGGAAGAG